CAGCCTGAATCATGGCAGGCAGTAATAATTGGGTATGTGAAAGAAGACAGAAAAGCACAGGGATCTCAAAAGATTATAGAGCTGGAAGAAGTTACAGAAATTGGGTGGGATGACACCATGGTAGAATTCGAAAAGAATAATTAAGACCTAAAAATTAAGCCCAAAATGAACACTTGTCAGAGCTGGATGAGCTACTTAATCATTTCATATCCTTGATTTGTGATTTTTATTACAGCCTTTGGTTTCCCTAATATCTTGAATTTAATTTTGTATAGCTTTAATTTTTGATTTAGCTTGTGTTTCTCCCTTTCAGATTTCATTAAATAAATTCTCCAGTTTTTCTGCTGTTTCCTTTCTTCCAGCTTTGGTTCATAAAAAGCAGTTGGAGTGTTTTAGAGGAGCTTAGCAGTAGGGACCACTGGCCTATTTTTTTTTCTCTCCTGGGAAAGTGACTTGCCTCAACTCTGCACACCTTTGTAAGCACTAGATCAAGAGCCCAGTGAAGGGAGTGCTAAGCAAGATCCTGAATGTTATCACTTATTTCTTCTGTTATTTTTACTTGTTTTTTTTTACTTTACATAATGTAAAAGCAATAAGTATTCGCACTTTTGACAAAAGAGTACAAGCTGTAATACCTCTGCAATGATGATGTTACAGGTTTGCCTCTCGGTCTAGTGTAGTGAAGTCTGGAATTTGTCCAATCGCGTATCTGTCCCACTGTGTTTTACTACATTGTGACACAGAAAATGATGTATTCACCATTATCTTATACTTTTTTAAAGCAAGAGGAAAAATGAGATATTCCAAATATATTTTGTATTCAAATCTGAACATCTCACTAAAAATGGTGAAACTCTGTTATTGTAATAAAAAAGTAGTTACCTTATTACAAAATAATAACTTCTATTTAATTAAATTTTCAAGATAGATTGTAAAAAAAATTTCAATATTAATTGTTTTATGATAGCATTTAATTTTGCTGATCTTTGCATCATCATAAAGCAATACAGTGGTTGATGCCGGGCAACTATTGAATATGTATTCAAGGTTGTAACCTATTCAGAATAAAGGCATTCTGTCAATATAGACACAACAGCAAATTGTGAGTTAGATTTACATTGTTTGAGAATATCTATTTAAAATTATAAAGGTTATTTAAAGTCAAAGACTGAAAGAGCTGATACCAGCAAGAAGGATGACCATCAGGCTGCTGTAGGTGGGGATTCAATCTATTACTTATTTCCTGCATCATAAAAACATACATCCATGTTTATTGTCAGCAGTTTTTATTCAGTATTAACAGTGGAAGAAAATAAAGTCTTTTAGCCATCACAAATACATGTCCAGGCACCCTCGATGTTTCAACGGGTGTACACTATGTGTTGTGCACTAAACATTTGAGAAAAATGTCTCAGTTTGATACCTCACCCATGCTAAAACTGCTAATATTAAGAGGAACAGCAATAAAACATTATAATAGAGCTCAAGCACTCCAATTTAGTACGGGGGATAAAAATCAGCTGAGGTTCCTGCTCTTGATTGACGTCCAATTATGTCTGCTCGTAAGTGTGTGAACATGTACATCAAATGAGGACAAAATGCCTCTTGGCAGATGAACAGCTGTCTCGGCTTGCAGGAAAAGAATGGTCACATGAGTAAACAAGGTGCAGAGCTGGATGAACACAGCAGGCCGAGCAGCATCATAGGAGCAGAAAGGCTGA